TCTTTTGCTAGGTATCTCCTAGTTATTTTTATTTAGTTTATTTTCTTAATATTTAGATTTTCTACTTTAATTGTATGTTTATGCCTATAACTAAGGTACTCTAATTTAATTGTGTAAAGAATTAGAGAAGAAAAATACTACATATTTCTTCTATTTCATTCCATAAGTTTATGGATATATATACATAAAAGAAATATCTATACATGAAAATATAAATCGCCATATTAATGATAGAAAATCAACTAATAATAACGTAAAAATATTCTAACACTCCCCTTCAAGCCGAAGTATATATATTAATCATGTTCAGCTTGTTATGAAGATATTCAATTCAGTTTTCATTCAAAACCTTTATGAATATATCACCTACTTGTTCCCCTGTTTTCACATAACTGGTAGAAATCAAATTCTCTTAAATCTTCTCACAAATGAAATAACAATCAATCTCGATATATTTGATTTTTTCATAATACACCGAATTTGAGACAATATGAAGAGCAGTTTGATTATCACACCAGAGATTTTGCATGTAGTATGAGATTCAAACTCACTTCCGCTAAGAGGTGTTGTATTCATTAGACTTCACATGTGCACTGGGCTATATCTCTATATTCGAACTCTGCACTGGTCTAAGATACAACGGTCTGTTTCTTACTTTTCTATGATACTAGGTTCCCACCAATGAAAACACAATATAACCTGTAGTGGATCTTTTATCAATTTTGAATCCACCCCAATCAGCATCTACAAAGCATTCAATGTGAGTGTGCTTATGATTGCTAAACAATATACCGAGTCCTGAAGCACCTTTTAGGTAGTCAAGATTTATTCCAACGTTTTTTAATGTTTGATTGTAAGTGCAGACATAAATTGACTAACAACACTGACAGCATATGCAATATCTGAATGAGTCACTTTGAGATAATTTAGTTTTCCAACTAATCGTTTGTATCTTTCTTGGTAATCAAGGGGGGGTTACAATTATCTTTAGTAAGGTATACATTTGGTACTATTGGCGTGTTACATGGTTTATCTCCAAACTTTCCAATTTCTGCAAGTCGATCAAGCACATATTTCTTCTAAAACAAGAAAATCTCTTTCTTTCTTCTTGTTATTTTTACTCTCAAGAAGTATTTTAACTAAGCTAAGTTTTTTGGTGTGAAACTTGTTATGTAGGAATGATTTGAGGGAGAACATTCTTGTACAATCTCTTGTAATAACAATATTATCAACATAGACAACAAAAAATATAAAATCAGTTGCTGACTATCTATAAAAGACCGAGTGATCACACTTACTCTTTTTCAGCTCAAATTCCAGAGCTACTTCACTAAATTTGTTAAACCATGCACGGAGACTCTGCTTCAAACCATACAAAGATTTTTTCAAATGACAAACTTTTCCATACTCCCCCTAACCAACAAACTCAGGTGGTTGTTTCATA